TGGATTCTACGGGGCAAGAGGTAGACTGTGATAAGACCTTTGGAAGGAGGACTGCGTAACAATGTGGCAGACTCTAATCCATATTCCCAGCACAAGGGTGAATGGGGGTGAGAACGCCAGCGTGGAGTGCGGAGGGTTCTCATGAAAGCCGCTCAAAAGGTCACATCACACTAGATTCAAATTGTGACAGTGAAGGTGTGATAGGAGGATATAGGAAATGTGAATAGCCCAGGGCACAAGGTGAGATAGCACAGCTGTTTAGCACACGTTTAGTCAAAGGATCAGCTTCACTTGTCTTTTTGACCAGTTGTTGTGTGGTGCTACGAATGGCGAGACGTCTGGGAATGTATCACGTCCACGGTCCGACTTTCTAACTGATCATGCATACAATGAACTCCGGACTATGTGCGTTCCTCTAAGTCTTCCTAGCAATATGACCAAGTTGCGAAAACAAGGTCAAACAACCTCTATTTATTGACGATTAAATAAGTAATGTGATCGATTACTATAGCAAATAAAAAATTTTCTTATCGACAATCCCACCACAGAATGTGATATTTAAAAATGCCTTGTTTTCCTTGAACTTCACACCTGCACTGTGAGTCAAGGGCACTCGTGGCAATGTAATTGGGCGTTTAAAATATCGAAATCGCACTATCATGTTTCTAGTCTAGCTGAAGGTGCTGATGAGGCTTAGGCGAGGTATAAACTGCAGACTATTCCTGCATGGGGGAGATTACCTTTTGAGAAAGCGAGGCAATGAGAAAATTTTGGAAATCTGAGCCCTACTCATATCATTGTAAAAAATTACCTCATAAAGTTACAATTTAGTTTCTAAATAACATTTCTTCCTTTCCATTGAATGGATATAATTTCGTTTTTACGATTTGTCCATGGTTTTACAGTAGCCAGTCTTGGTCATCCCCTTGAAAAAGGTTTATACATAGTCCTTTTTTACTACTCTTCTGATTCCCCAGCTCCACTAATTCCGTATCTCTCCTACAAGGGTTTGTGAGAATGAGGTAGTTTTATAAAGTGGCCTAACCCATTTTGGCAAGTAAGCTGCCTTTTTGTGGGGCAATCCACAGACTTGGTTAAACGAAGCGGGATCAAGGAAAAACCCAAGGGCAGACCATGAGGCATTATTATTTTCTGTACCAGGGCGCAAAGGCCGATTGAGCCGGTTGGTACAGGCACACTTTCTTTCTGATGCTCACATTTTCCATATTGTGAGGGTTCATAAACCCTCTTTTTACATTGTATCATCATTGTATTTTTAGGTCTTGTATCTCCAGCGCTATTCAGGTACAGAATGGAGCCCAACGACTGACTAGTGGCACATTTTACTTTTTTTCTTAGGAAACCCATTAGTGGGGTGGTCAGGTGAGCCAAGTATTTGCATTACGTAGTAGTGATTTATTGGAGCTTTAAAATGTTCCCTATCAAGATCTTCTTCGAAAATGGGTGAATTGGATGTGCAGCTCTTCCTGCTTCTAAGCCTGAATTTTGACCGCCGAAATGAGCACAGAGCATGTGACACAAACGTATGGGTTGCCGGGTGTAGGCAATTTGCAATAGTATTATGGGTATTAAACAAAGGCTCAAGCAAATAAGGCATACAAACCGGACCACTTGGCATTAATGGCCTGAAGATCGGACTAAGATAGATTCCCACTCCACTTGAAGGTCAGATGATACTTAACTGCCAAATTTTCACTAAAATAAAACGATAACCAAACCAAAATGTACCAAAAAACTTTAGCATTCATCTTGAAATCAAACCAAGAAGACTGACAGTCTGATGTATAAGAGTTGCTTAAATCGGATAAAAATGGAAAGGAAATCGACCTGGCAAGACTAATACTCAATAAATAGTCGAATTCTCTGCAGAATCAGCGAAATGCTTGTGTAGAAAAATTAATCAGATTGGCAAATGTGTATTTAATGAAGTATAACTTAGTATCACAGCACTTCCATGAGGCTTATTATATTTAAGTTTAGCCGAGAAATTGTCTGCTTGTTCAACTGGGTATGATGTTATGACACGTAGGCTAACATGCATGGATTTGGGGCTTCATATTTGTGCTGTCACGTAGAACAAGGAAGGAATCACTTCTCTAATTCACATAAATCCTTCAAGCGCACCTTAATTTATAAATTAATCCTTGGATAAGTTTCGCTGAATCCATCAAATAGGCCAAAGCTATCGATGCCGGAAGTGTTTTTTTTATTCAGGCTCATTGGATTTTCCCTTCCTTAGAAATTGTACACATCAGCAGCTAGAAGGTAAAGGAAGTGTAATTCTTAGGTTTACTCCAATGCTGGTATAATAAATCGAGTTGAAAAGTGATTTTTTTTAATTTGATAAATTAGTTTCTTGAGTAGCATATATATCATCGGTTTTTACAATGAAACACGCATTGTGGTATAGAAAATCTGAGCTTATAAAGAATTATATGTACAGCTTTCATAGCTTGCAATATTCCAATGCTCAGACGAATTGAGTTCGCCTTTTGCTGAGAAAAGAAAAAGATTTAGAGTTAAATTCAGCGCGAACTTTATTGACACGTCTGCATGGGCTGTAGCTTCTTTGCTTTGTCGATAAGCGAATGGACTAGATGATAACGTGGCAATAGCTGTTGGGACAGGGCAGAGCATGCTACTAATCGAGCAATACCTCGCAATATGAAAACACTACCATTATATATACATAGGAGAGATGACGTGTATTTGTTGTACAGTCTGTGAAGATAGCAGCAATTATATTTTGAAATGTCACTCATTTGTACAGCTTACTCGTGAGTAGCATGTATTCTTATGTCTTCATTGTTCTAATCTACAGGGCTACAATTCGAGTTAGGGACCATAATCAGAAAAACTGAAGCAACTGGGAGTCTGGAGTTTGCATACATAATTGAGTATGTGCATGCTTTAATGCGCATTGTTCGGTGTAGATGAGTGTGCTTATGCTGAAGTTGACGAGTCGTTTGACTTGTAAAAATGTTGTGTGGTCTGAAACAAAAGTATATGATAGATTTTGTGGGACGAAAGACTAATCAGTTAAAGTTTAGCATACAAGTGAAATAAATTAAAAACATAACAAAAACTTGCTGGGCTATCCAGAGGGGCTGTTTAGGAAAAATAAAGACGATTTCGATGCCTCCATAAGGCCTGACAAAATGTACACTTTGCAGAGAGGAGCCTAGGAGAATGCGAAGAGAGGGCTTTGAACAAGTTATTTTTTCCCTTTATTCGTTACAGTATAGGCTAACTCTGTTGATGAGCGTAGAGTATTCTGCCCGACTGACGATCGCCAAAGGCGTGAGTATTGTTTGGCTGTGTTGTCTGTTGGTTCTGCAGATATTGTGAGGATGGCGGATAGCGAGATTGAGCGATTATTGCCTTCTCAACTGGGGCCAGGGTGTTTGTCATGAGGACTCGAGGAATATCATACTCCTGACTGCCGGACAAAGAGTACGGAGAGCCGGGCGGCACGATGCTACCGGAGGCGCCGAAGGCGTCGACAAAGAGCCATGGTGCGTTGGTTGCCATCGCCGCGGCGGCGGCCGCTGCCGAGGCCGACGGTGCCAGGAGACCGTCTACGGTGTCGAAGGCACCGGGAAACAAGGGGACGCTGGTGGTGGTGACCGGAGACAGAGCAGAGGCGGCCAGATCCAGGCCTGCCGCCGCCGATGCCTGGCCAGGTCCTGTGGTCAGTCCGAGTCCGGCTTTGCCCATCAACCAGGCGAATTGGGCCCCGGCTGGCAGACCGTCATGGCCTCGTGGCAAGTGACCGCCCGGGGAGAGACTGAGCATCCGTTTCAACAGACTCGGCGACAAGTTGAGACCCTCGGGCCTCAGATGGGAGCCTGGCGGTGTAAGGTACGAGGCGGGATGCAACGGCGGAGGCGGCGGGGGCGGGGGCAGAAGAGGCGGAGGCAGAAGAGGCGGAGGCGAGGGCAGGAGGAATGGAGTGGTGAGGTAGTTGTTGGTGAGGCTTGGCTGTCCAAAGGAGGTCGGAGAGTCGGGCGTCTCGGTCGGATGGTACAGATGACCTAAATGGCGTCCGTTCGCGAACACCTGTTGGACGGAGTTCAGATCCGACTGATGATAGGCGTATTGGGGACTGGTTTGTCCGGCCGGGCCGGTGCTTGCGCTGCCACCGCTGGCGCTTCCGTTGTCGTTAGTCTGGTGGCAGTTGTTGGTGTGCGCGTTGACATCGTTGCTGGAATTGTCGAAACTGTTGGTGTTGGTGTAGTGGGAGGTGAGTTGGGGCCCGGCCGGGTGAGCCTTCTTGCCAGCGGTCAGCAGGGCCGCCGGAAAGGGCAACGTGTTGGTCGCTTTATGCACTGTCGTCTGTCCGCCGGGACTCTTACCAGAGTCCCCGGGGATGGCGGATGTGGTGACAATCATAGTCGAGCTACTCTCGCTGGACGAGTTGACTCCGCCGCCGGCGCCAATCCCACCGCCGCCGTTGGCTACGGCTGAGGAGGCGGCGGCAAACCAGAGGGACTGGCCGACTCCGGAGGCCGACTGTGAAGAGCAGCGCGTCTTGTGCATCCGGTAGGCGACGGGCAGACATCGGGCCGTGCACAGCATCAGCATCAAAGTGGCTAAGGCTGTGCCGGCGACCGCGCCGAGCATCTCGAGCAGAGTGAAGTGCTTCTGAAAGAGCGGGCTCGGATGGTCAAAGGCGATCTCGGCCGAGCTGGTCCGAGACCCGGCTGGCTCGACTCGGGCTCGACCGATGGACGTTTGGTCGGAGCCGACCACTGAAGATGACGACAATGATGCTGCCGCTGCTGCTGCTGCTGCTGCTGATGATGATGAGGAGGAGGAGGAGGAGGGAGAAGGCGAAGCCGACAAATTAGTCACTGGAGGTTCGACTCCCCGCAGGGTGACCAGCACCCGCTGCTGCCGCTGAGCCGGTGGGGAGGCCTCATCTGCCGGAAGGAGCCAGTTATCCGCTTCGTCCGGAGTCGAGCAGACGAAACCGCGGGCTTGGCTCACCAGACTGACGTTGAGACGGACGGTTGAGG